GGACGGCTGCTCAAGGCAGCCTGCGCGCGCCCAGCCGCGGCCCCGCGTCGGCGTCCTGCGCGGCCGCCACCAGAAGCTCGCGACGCGAGGGCTGCAGACACTCGCGGACACCTGCTGCGCGAAGTCCATCCCGAAGCAACCGGCGGGCTCGCCAGAGGACTGCAGCGCGCCGCGCTGCGGCGGCGACGTCGGCGACGAACCGCTACGCAGCAGGCCCGAGCCCGCCGTCGGTCTCGACCGCGAACGGAAGGACCGCCTCGCGGTACAGGTCCTCCTTGCGATTCTCCGCGTCGCGGGCCTCGTAGCCGATGGCGCGCACTGCCGGGCCCGGATCTCTGGGCGAGCGCACGGCCGCGTCCACCCAGGTCGGCGCAGGCAGAAGCGGCCGGCCAACTGACGACAGGGTCGAGCCCCGCCTCGGTAATCTCACCGCCGGCCTCCCGGCACAGCGCCGGCACGCAGCGCTCCATGTCGGCGGTCTCGCCGTGGGCGGAGATCCAGTCTCCCAAGGCCCCCCTCGATCTCGTTGTGCAGACGGATGCGGTGCGGCCCCACCAGGCAGTGGAGCGCGCGAAGACACGCGACATCCAAGGGCAGGCCGCACGCGCCTTGTCGCTCGTCGCCGCCGCCGGCGGCGCTGCAGGAGTGCTGGAAGGCGCACGTGGCCTGGGCATCCAGCAGTTCCAGCAGGAGGCAGCGCGGGAACATGACCACGAAGGAGGCGTCGTGGAGTGCCAGCTCGCCCTCCTGCATGAAGCCGTTCCAGAAAAGCGCCAGCGCCGAGCCCGCCGCCTGACAGCAGCCGCGCCTGGCGCGCCGCGGGCAGGCGTGCCCAGAGGCGGGTGGCCGCGAGAGCAGCGAGGCTGCGGTACGCCCGAGTGGCGAGACGGCGCCGGCCCGCCCACATGCCCTCGAGGTCCAGGCTCGCCTGCAGGAGCGGCAGATGGGCTCCCGGGATGTCGTCGGCCTCCGCGTGGAAGTCGAAGACGGCCTCTGTCGGGAGCTCGGCCGAGCAGGGCCCTCCCTCAAACTCGAGCTGGGCCTCCGCCGTGAACGCGATGCACCGCAGGAGCAGCTGGATGCCTGCGGCGGCCACCTCGTCGCGAGCCCAGGCGTTCAGGGGCGCGTCAGGGTGATTATGATGATGATGATGATGATGATGATGATGATGATGATGATGATGATGATGATGACGATGATGATCATGATGGTGATGACGATGATGATGATGATGATGAGGATGAGGATGATGGTGATGGTGATGGTGATAGTGGTGGTGGTGGTGATGGTGATGGTGTGGGTGATGGTGATGGTGATGGTGGTGATGGTGATGTGATGGTGATGTGATGGTGTGGTGATGGTGATGGTGATGGTGATGGTGATGGTGATGGTGATGGTGATGGTGGTGATGGATGGTGATGGATGGTGATGGTGGTTATGGTGGTGATGGTGATGGTGATGGTGATGGTGGTGATGGTGATGGTGATGTGATGGTGATTGTGATGGTGATGGTGATGGTGATGGTGATGGTGATGGTGATGGTGATGGTGATGGTGATGGTATGGTGATGGTGATGGTGATGGTGATGGTGGTGATGATGATGCTGATGATGATGATACTGATAAGTCCGCCGATCCGGCGTGTGAGTTTCAAAGACCCTCAAATATAGCCTGAGTCTCAGTTCTTGAGCTTCAGCTCTGCTGGGGGGGTGGGTGCCGGGGTGTCTCTGCTGGGGTAGGGGGGAGGGGGGAAGGGGTCCGAGTCAATTTTGTTGGACAAGCGCGCTGGGGCGAAAGTGTCCTTCTGACAGCGGGATCGTCCCGGATCGGAGGCACCGGCCGGAGGCCTCTACAATATAATGATAATGCGAATGATGATGACAATGATGATGATAACGATAATGATGATAATGATGATGATAATGACAATCCGAATAACAATGATGATGATGATAATGGTAATGTAAATGATCATGGTGATGAGGATGGTGATGATGAGGTTGGTGGTGGTGGTGATGGTGATGATAATGATGATGATGGTGATGACGATGATGATAATAAGGATGATGATGGTGGTGATAATAGTGGTGGTGGTGGTGCTGATGATGCGGATGATGCGGATGATGATGATGATGATGGTGATGATGATGATGATGATAATGATGATGATGATGATGCTGATGATACTGAGCATGATGATGGTTGTGGTTGTGGCGGTGATGATGATTGGTGATGATGTTGATGACCACGACGATGATGGTGACGATAACGATGATGATGATGATGATGATGATGATGATGATGATGATGATGATGATGATGATGATGATGGTGGTGATGACGATGACGATGATGATGGCGATGACGAGAATGATCACGACGATGATGATGATGATGATGATGATGATGATGATGATGATGATGATGATGATGATGATGATGATGATGGTGATGGTGATGATGATGATGATGATGATGATGATGATGATGATGGGTATGATGATGCTGATGCTGATGATGGTGATGATGTGATGATGATGATACGACGGCGACGACGACGATGATCATGACGGCGCCAACGACAGCGACAACCCCAAAAACATAAGACCAAGACGATACTCGACGAAGACGACGACCACGACGACGACGACGACGACGGCGACGGCGGATCTGAAGACGACGGCTTCCACCGATGATTATTAATAACGACGAAAGACGACGATGGTGTCAGCTACAAACGAAAACGACAAAGACGACGGACGACGACGACGACGGCGACAGCCATCGGACGACACTTGACGACTGACGACGACGGACGACAATGACGACGACAACGAAAAAACGAGAGCTACGACGAGGACCAAAAACGGCAAAATCACGACGACAATCGATGAAGACGAAGACGACAGCTCTTACGACGATTGTGATATCCGACAAAGGCCGACGACGACGAGGACAAACGGCAAGGACGGCCAATGCTGAGACCGACGACGACAACCACGGCGGCTGCCACGACAACTACGATAACCAACAACGACGACGGCAAACCACGACCGCGATGACGAAAACGACGGCGACCACGCCAGCGCCAACGCCGACGCCGACGCCGACGCCGACGACCAGGACGACGACGGCGACGACGCAGACGACAACGGCGGGTGGGGCCCTGATGGGCGGATCGGGGAGGCGGGGGCTCCCAGGCAGACGGGGGGGCTCTCAAGCAGCCCACCGGCATGGGCCCCACGGGGCGGGTCGGGCGGGCGGAACCCCAGCTCCTCCTCCTCCTCCTCCTCCTCCTCCTCCTCCTCCTCCTCCTCCTCCTCCTCCTCCTCCTCCTGCGGGGCGGGCGGGCGAGGCATCTAAAAAGAGAGCGGGTGGGCGGACCATGAAATGTGAACCTCGCCCACTGCTCTTGATTCATCGCCGCCGCCATCGCCATCGTCACTGTCACCGTCGTCGGTCTCATCGGCGTCGTCGGAGTCGGCGTCACGTCGTCGTCATCATCGTCAGCGTCGTCATCAGCGTCGTCAGCGTCGTCGTCCTTTGCGTCGCCGCCGCGTTCGTAGCGTTCATCGTCGTCGTGCGCCGTCGTCGTCGTCGTCGTCGTCGTCGTCGTCGTCGTCGTCGTCGCCCGTCTTCATCGTTTTCCAGTGCGCGAAGCGGGGGGGCATAGAAGAAGAAAAACCGAATAAACGTAAACTGTTGACGGTCCGCGCGGATGTCTTGGATCCGCGCCAGACCCCCCCCTCCCCGGCGCGCGAAACGCGCCAGGGGCGGCGCCGGAGGCGCCGCCAGGGGGCCTCAGCGCCGATCCGAGAAATCCGCGAGGCACTCCGAAAGTGTATGTTCATGCTTTTGCTGTTCTTCGAGGGGGGGGGGGGATTCCGTGTCCCCCCTCTCCCGGCTCCCGGTTCCGTGCCCGTGCTCCCAGGGGGTGTCCCCCAGTTCCGATCCCCGAACCTCGCGTTCCGATCCCAGAACCTCGAGCCCTCGGGCCCTCGAGCCCTCGAGCCCTCGAGCCCTCGAGCCCTCGGGCCCTCGAGCCCTCGAGCCCTCGGGCCCCCGAGCCCTCGAGCCCCCGAGCCCTCGAGCCCTCGGGCCCTCGAGCCCTCGGGCCCTCGAGCCCTCGAGCCCTCGGGCCTCGAGCCTCGAAGGGCACCTTCCTGCGAGGCGGGGATTTGTCCATATCCACCGCCCTGCAACCGACGTCCTGGTGCCCTAAGCGGGCGGTGGATCTGGACATGCCTCGGTCGACCGAGGCATGTCCACGGTTTTGGGGTCTCCGGGGACCGCGGTCCCCGGAGACCCCAAAACATGTCCCTATCCACCCCATGTCGAAGCTCCGAAAACTGGCCCTCCAGGCGGTGGTCATGTACCCCAGATTCCATAACAAAGTGAGGGGGGGTCACATTCGGGGGGGGGGGTCTGATTCGAGCTGTCTTGGAGGGTTCGGGGGGGTCTGGGCAAAGGGCCGCCCTTGCATGGATGGTCTGGGGGGGTCTAAAACTTATCTTCTGGGAGGGTTGTGACCCCCTCCCTTTTATGTGAACTCTGGAGTATAACTTCCCGCCTTGGACTTTCGGCTGGGCCCCGCGGCCATGCGCCGGGGCCCATGCAGCGCGGCGCGGGCCGCCGCTGGCCCGGCGGCCATGGTCGCCGGGCTGGTGCTCGGGGCCCAGCTGAGCGCGAGGACCTGCGGGGGGGGGGGATGGCACGCCACGGCCCCGTCCTCGGGCGCCTCAGGAAAATGGACGACCTACCAGACCACCCCAACCCAACCCGAAGACCCGAGTTTGGGGTTGGGGGGGTTAAGGGTTCCACATGTGTTTGTTCGATGTTTCCCGACCCCCCCCCCCCACTGGAAATCGAGGGTAAATCTGAGCCTTCGGGTTGGGTTGGGGTGGCTTGGTGGGTGGTGAAAAATCGAGGCCGAGGTTGCTCTCAGTTTTTGGCCTCTCGGGGCCCTCGCCGGGCCTCAGGACCGGCAAAAGACGACTCGGGATGTGAGAAGCCGGTCCCGGGGAAGTGGTCGGGAGGTCGGGGGCCCGTGCCTCGAAAAAAGCGAAACGTCGGATGTCTGGTTCCGGGAGGGGGAGGGGGAGGGGGAGGGGGAGGGGGAGGGGGAGGAGGAGAAGGAGGAGGAGGGAGGAGGAGGAGGAGGCGGGGGAGGAGGGCGGGGGGAGGGGGAAGGGCGGGGGGACGGGGGAGGAGGAGGGGAGTGGGACAGGGGAGTCGGGAGTTGAAAGGGTGGGGGGGGAGGCCAGAGGACGTGGGCCAAGCTGGGTGCGTTCGCGTCATACCTGACGTCCTGCCCCTCCCTCCCATCCCTCACCATGGCGTAGATCTCCTCAGTATTCGCACAGTCGGATGTCGCAGCATGGCATAGCATCACATGGTATAGCATGGTGTTGAAGATCAGCGCGAAGCATGACAAAGCATGGCGTGCCGACGCCTCAAAGCGGGGGAGGCTGCTGCGGCCCAGAGAATCATCGAATCGACAACGAATGTGTAATCACTCCCGATGGTTCTTTGGGTGTGGCATTTTCTAAATTTCGAGGTCGATTTGGGAGCACCGAAAACCATGCCGTAGCATGGTACTGGAAATAAGAACGCCAGCGCTGCAGCGGGAGAATGATTCGGAACGAGCGGAAGCGCGGAAGTGAGGCCAGCACTGCAGCGGGAGCATGATTCGGAACGAGCGGAAGCGCGGAAATGAGGCCAGCGCTGCAGCGGGAGCACGATTCGGAACGAGCGGAAGCCCGAAAATGAGGCCAGCGCCTCAGCGGCAATAGCATTTTGAAAAAAACAAGCGAAAACCCATTTCCCGGGAATCCTGCGTAAAAAACCATACGCGGAGGGGGGTCGGATATCTTCCGGACATCATCAGGGGAGAGAGGAGTAGTACTCAGATTGTGAAATTGTGGAGAAGGAGAAGGAGGAGGAGGAGGAGGAGGAGGAGGAGGAGGAGTGAGGATTGAAGACTAAGAATTGAGGAGGAGGAGAAGGAGGAGGAGGAGCAGGAGGAGGATTAAGAGGGGGGCCAGCGCCGAGATAGGAGGATGGAGTCGGGACCTGAAAGGGGGACAGGGCGGGGGGATGGGGAGGTGGAAGGAAAGGGGGAGGGATGAGAAGGAGGAGCACGGGGGAGGGAGGATGAGGAGACAGGGGATGGAGGAGCCCTCCTCTCTACAAAGTTCTCCTCCTCCTCCTCCTCCTCGAAGTCGTCCTTCTCTCCCCTCCGCCCACCTCGTCATCTTCCTTCCCCTCCATTCCTTCTCTTGTTGAATAACTCCTCCCTGTCGAACCCCGAGCCCAGTGGGAAGGGCGGGCCAGAACATTCCTCACCACGTACGAATGTATAGCTTGAAATTCGCAACAGCTTCACGGATGGAGGGCGGGTGGTTTTCAAAGTGTGGCTCGCGCCAAAGCGCCGCGCACGTTCGTCTTCAGAGCATGCATGGATTTCACGGATTGAGGGCGGGCCGTTTTCACAGTGTGCCTCTCGCCGTAGTGCCGTGCACACTTTCTTTTTGTACGCCAGAGCTTCACGGATTGCGGGAGGGCCGTTTTCACAATGTGGGTCTCGCCGTGGCGCCGCGCACCTTGGTTTTAAGAATTTGCCAGAGCTTGACGGATGGAGGGTGGGCCGTTTTAAACATGTGGCTCTCGCCTTAGCGCCGCGCGCAATCGTTTTAAGGTGCAGCAGGGGTTTGACGGATGGAGGGCGGGTGGTTTTAAAAATGTGGCTCTCGCCTCGGCGCCGCGCACTCTCGCCTTGACAATTCACAAGAGTCCCACGGATTCGCATGGATAACTTATCAGAAATTCCCTTCGTGAGTGAATTAGGGTTGTCAGGGCGCCAAACTTACGTTGTTTCGCGATGTTGAAGTCCCAGGAATGGTGTCCTGGCACGATTCAGAATCATGAAGACGCATCAACAAGGTTGATTCGTGTCGTTGAAATCCCGAGAACAATGCTTTGGCACGCTTGAGGAATTTCAAACTGTTGCCTCCCAACGGGACACTTCCCTAAGTGGAAATGAACCCCTGTATGGGGCCTATGAAAGGGAGCTTGGAGGGAGGGTTCATGCTAACACCCTTGACGAGCCTTGGGTTTACACGGGTCCTCCTCCTCCTTCTCGTCCTTCCCTGGTCATTCCTTCTCCTCCTCCTCAGCCTCCTCCTCCTCATAATCTTCCTCCTTCGAGGTAGAAGAAGAAAAGGACGAAAGAATTGGAACGGAAGGGCATGTAGAGAAAATTGAGCCGAGCGAGATGGGGTGGAGAGGAACGGAATCAAATAAGACGGAACGGAACGGAACAGAGCGGAATGAAGTATGGAGAAGAGGGGAGGGAGAAATTGACTGAGCGCCGCGACATCGCCGTCGTGAGCCACGAATGCCCTCCTCTGCCACTGCTCGCCGGCCGGCTGGATCGATCTGCCAGCGGTCTCCCGCCGCGTCAGCACCACGACCTGAGGGGCAGGGAGGAAGGAGGCGGAGGGGGAGGAAGAGCGAGGGCGAAGGCGAAGCGCAACGGGAGAGGGGGAGGCAGGTTGGAGAGGGGACGAGGGGGGGGCAGAGGAGGAGGGTGAAGAGGGGAGGGCGGAGGCGGCACCAGAAGGAAAAGGAAGAGGAGGAAGGAGGAAGGGTAACGAGAGAGACGAAGGCGGGTTCTCCTCCTCCACCTTCTCCGCCACATCCTCCTCCTCCTCCTCCTCCTTATCATAGTCATCATTATCATCATCATCATCACCACCACCACCACCACCACCACCATCATCATCATCATCATCATCATCATCATCATCATCATCATCATCATCATCGTCATCATCATCATCAGCAGCATCATCGTCATCAGCAGCATCCTCATCATCATCATCATCATCATCAGCAGCAGCATCATCATCATCATCATCATCATCATCATCATCATCATCATCATCATCATCATCATCATCATCATCATCATCATCATCATCATCATCATCATCATCATCATCATCATCAAAATCGGCATCATCATGATCAGCAGCATCGCCAACATGATCCTCATCATCACCATCATCATCTTCATCATCTTCATCATCATCATCATCAGCGACCGTATCGTCACCATCAGCAGCAGCAACATCGTCGCGATCATCATCAGCAGTAGCAGCAGCATCGTCATCATCATGATCATCCGCATATGCATATGCATCGTCATCAGTACGATCAGCATCATCATCATCAGCATCATCATCAGCGTCGTCATCCTCATCAGCATCGTCATCATTATCGTCACCACCACCACCACCACCATCATCATCATCAGCATCATCACCATCTCCACCATCAGCATCATCATCATCATTACCAGCATCCTCATCATCATCAGCAGCAGCATCATCACCATCATGGTAAATATCATAATCATCATCAGCGACCGTATCGTCATCATCAGCAGCAGCACCATCGTCGCGATCATCATCAGCAGCGGTAGCAGCAGCATCGTCATCATCATCAGGAGCGGCAAATTCAGCATCAGCATATGCATCAGCATCAGTATCATCAGCAGCCTCATCCACATCATCGTGATCAGTATCATCCTCGTCCTTATCATCATCCTCATCATCATCATCATCATCATCATCGTCATCATCATCATCATCATCGGCAGCATCATCATCACCACCATCACCACCACCACCATCATCATCATCATCATCATCATCATCATCATCAACATGATCGCCATAGCCATCAGCAGTATCATCATCATCCTCATCCTCATCCTCACCTTCATCACCATGATCGTCAGCAGCAACATCACCATAACTATCAGCAACATCAGCATCATCAGCAGCACCATCACCGTCACCATCATCATCATCAGCATCATCATCGTCGGCACCATCATCCATATCAGCATCATTATCATTATCATTAGCATCACCTGCATCATCATCGTCACCACCATCGTTATCGGCATCGTCATAACCACCATCGACATCATCATCGTCATCATCATGGTCATCAGTACCATCAGCATCATCATCACAGCAGCAGCAGCATCATCATCATCGTCATCCTCATCAGCATCAGCAACATCAGCATCACAATCGATATCATGAGTACCATCAGCAGCATCATAAACATCATCAGCATCGTCATTCTCACCATCACCAGTATAAACATCCAAGACGGCCCCGATGGGACTCCGAGATCGCCCCAAGATGGCCCAAGAGGCCGCCCAGAGGGCTTGAACACAACACGGCCCACGAAGGCCCCAAGACTGTCCAAAACAGCCCCGAGACCGACCACAGGAAGACCAGGATGCCCCCAGAAGGCTCCCAAGGAAGGCCCACGAAAGCCATGTGAGACCCCCGAGAAGGCCACTGGAGGCCCCCAGGAGGGCCCCCAGATGGCTTCAGAACGCCTGTGGAAGGCCCCACTCCTGAAGACGGCCTTTAAAGAGGCCCCAGGGCGGCCCAGAAGAGCCCCAGAAACGCCCAGACGGCGTTCTCCGACAAAGTGCATCGAGCTACGCTCAAGGCTCGACGTTCAAACTCCTCGATCGAGAGAGACAGGCAGTGGATCAAGATTCGAAGTTCGACGATCGGAACATTCATGTGTGCCTGGAGCCCTCCAAGCATTCAGGAAGCGACCAAAAATCAATATGTCTGGAGCTACTGCGACTTCTTCAGCGTGTCACGAAAACGCTCTTCACTTCCTCAAAGGACCTTCGCGCAAAAATCATCAATCCTTCCCCGCTCCTGCGCACAAGCGTGCAAGCGCATCGGGCGAACGCGGTGTCAGCAGGCACCAGGGATATCATAAAAATGAGCTGGTCGCCCATCCAAGCCTCGAGGTCCCCCCTGCTGAAGCAAGCGACAATATGTTGTTTTGCTGGGGAAGCGTCCGGCACAAGGCGCATGGCGCGAAGCGCCAATGCAGTCTGGTACGTATGAATGTATACATGTATATATACATATATATGTGCAAGCATGTGATGCAAACAGTGAGGTGCACTGTATGTGGTGTTTGCTGGGTGATGCAGTCTAGGTGGCGCAATCGATCACCAACTACACTTCCCTGGGGTCCTGGCAATATCCCCGAAGGGCTCCCAGCCACTGACCAGCTACCCCTACCTGGGGTCCTGGCGCTATCCCCAAAAGGGCGCCCCCGCGGCGTCTTCGGCCCGCCAGCGACCTCGCCGCCGCCGCCGCCCACGGCCAGCTCGCAGCCGTAGTGGCTGGACGCGAAAGCCAGCGCGGCGGCGGGCCCGCGCACGGCGCAGCGGTGGGCCAACTGCCACTGCTGCGGCGCGGCCTCCCGCCACGCCAGCATGCCACCGGTGCCGCCGCCGCCGCCTCCGCCGTCGCCATCGTCGTCGACGTCGTCGTCCGCGGCAGCGTCGTCGTCGTCGTTGTCGTCGTCGTCGTCGTCGGCGACGTCCCGTCGGCGTCGCTGCGGTGCGGCCTCTCGCCACACCAGCATGCCAACAGTGCCGCCGCCGCCTCCGCCGTCGCCATCGTCGTCGACGTCATCGTCCGCGGCAGCGTCGTCGTCGTCGTCGTCGTCGGCGACGTCCCGTCGGCGTCGCTGCGGCGCGGCCTCCCGCCACACCAGCACTGTCCCCCCGGGGCAGACCTGGGCAACGGGCGGCCAATCTGGGCTCAGAGAGGGATGTAGCCAGCCTCCTCCTCCTCATCATCATCCACATCCTCCTCCTTTTCCTCCTCTTCCTCCTCCTCCTCCTCCTCCTCCTCCTCCTCCTCCTCCTTGTCCTCCTCCTCCTCCTCCTCCTCCTCCTCCTCCTCCTCCTCCTCCTCCTCCTCCTCCTCCTCCTCCTCCTCCTCCTCCTCCTCCTCCTCCTGTGTTCCCCTTGCATCTGGACCGCTGGGCGACGATGCCTAATTTGGGACGGCGTCTTTATTTTCGGACTCATCCAGCTAGCAGCCCAGAGCTGCAGTGTCGGAGGAATGGTGTGTACAGTGTGGTTCACATCGTTGATGTTGAATTTCCTAACCCTCCTGATGCTGTTCCTTCTCCTGCTCCTGCTCAGTATCCTCCCCCTCATCCGCCGGTCCTCCTCCTCTTCCTCCTCCTCCTCCTCCTCCTCCTCCTCTTCCTCCTCCTCCTCCTCCTCTCCTCCTCCTCCTCCGCTGCTCCTCCTCATCCTCCTGCCGCCTCCTCCTCCTCCTCCTTCCTCCTCCTACTCCTCCTCTCCTCCTCCTCCTCCTCCTCCTCCTCCTCCTCCTCCTCCTCCGCTCCTCCTCCTCCTCCTCCTCCTCCTCCTCCTCCTCCTCCTCCTGCTCCTCCTCCCCCCCCTCCATGTTCTACGTTAAGCGAGCATTGGGTGAGGACGCGTTGCGTTCTTGACCCGCTGCGCGAAGAAACAGAGCCCGAATCCGGGGCACGGAGCACGCGGCGCGCGCAGCAGGAACAGGCGCAGGCAACGGGTGGCGGCAAGTGTAGGAAAAAACGGGCGCCCACCAGGTACAGTCGGAGCGCTGACCCAAGGAACCCCAAAGGAGGAACGAGGCCCCTTCTATCCCACAAGCTGAGCTTCGATGTCCCATCGAAATCGATTGGAAAACCCAAGGCAAGCTGCGAAACAATCAAGGAACACCGAGCCCCTCCCCAACGAAAGGGGCTCCTTCTTCAGCGCCTCGACTGTAGGAACAAATGGGCGCCCACCAGGTACGAGAGGTCAGCGTACGTTAATAATAAGAGCCCCGCAGTACTAAGTAGAGTAACGCTAAGCCCCTCAAGACTCAATGGTGCGCGCTGCCTCGTACCACAGGCAAACAGCGAGACAAGTGTGGCGCAGCAACCCCGTAAGAGCTGCTGAGCTTACTCTGCCAGAGAAAAGTGCAGGCGGGGGTTGGCAGTGTGCCAGAAACGTGAGACTAAAGATGTTGAGTGCAAGCTTGGCGGCAATTCTTCGGATGCTACCCAAAGTTTGGGGGCTTTCCCCTAACCACCGGATGCTAACCACCGTTCCTCCTCCCCCACACCACCATCCCCGTCCTCATTCTCCCCATGCCTCAGTAGAGGAACAACACGCATGTTACACAAGAGAACGAATTGCTGCAAAAACTAGTGGGACGACGCGCCAAATGCGCGCCAGAGTGAACGTTGCAACGGCGCTGGCTGCTTTTATCCCCCAGTTCGTCCTCAAACCGCTGAAGGTGAGCAAACGGCGATGCGCGAGCCACGCAAGTTACACGAGACAACAAGCCGCGGCGGAAATTCGTAGGACGACGCGCCAAATGCGCGCTGGAGTGAGCGCCGCAACGGCGCTGGCGGCATTTGTCCTCCTCCTCCTCCTCCTCCTCCTCCTCCACCAACCGTTCAAGATGAACGCACAGTGAAAGAACGAACGTGCGCGATGAAAGATGTGCGAACCACGTACGTCACAGACAAGAACGGCATGATCATCGCGCACCATGCCTGTGACAAACGCTATCAAGCACACGAATGGCAGTGAGAGAACACGCGCGCGACGAAATATGAGCGCACCAAACATGCCACGCACGACAACGGCCGAGACAGCATGAGAGAACAAACGCGAAAAGAGAGAGTTTCGACCACGCACGTTACACAAGACAACAGTCGTGACAGCATGTGTGCTAGGTCAACAAAAATGGCTTTTCGTAGCGCGTCATGGAGAACTGAAACCTCAAGACGACGACGACGACGACGACGACGACGACGACGACGACGACGACGACGACGGCGACGACGACGACGACGACGACGACGACGACGACGACGACGACGACGACGACGACGACGACGACGACGGCGCGCGCCCGCGCAGGACCGCGGCGAGCGCGCAGGCCGAGGGGCCGTCGCCCCACGCCAGGGCCACCGCCGCCTCGCCGCCGCCCGCGGCCTGCGGCTCCCCGAGCGGCTGCCACCGCTCCGCACCCCACACGCGGACGCCGCCGTCGGCGCTCGCGGTGGCCAGCCGCGCGCCCTGGCGGTCGAGGCAGGCGTCCACGAGGGCGCCAAACCTGACAGGCTCTCCTCCGCCTCCTCCGCCTCCTCCTCCTCCTCCTCCGCCTCCTCCGCCTCCTCCTCCGCCTCCTCCGCCGCCTCCGCCTCCTCCGCCTCCTCCTCCTCCTCCGCCTCCTCCTCCGCCTCCTCCTCCTCCTCCGCCTCCTCCTCCTCCTCCTCCTCCTCCTCCTCCTCCGCCTCCTCCTCCTCCTCCTTCTCCTCCTCCTCCTCCTCCTCCTCGGTCAGCATCAAGTCGGAATCGAGGTGTGCATCGGATCGGGCCGCCTCGGCACGGAGCCGGAATCGAGTCGGGGCGGCTGCGCCGGGATGCTCACCAGCGCCGTGCCGGCGCCGTGCCGCACCGGATCAGATCGGATCGGATCGGAGCATCGGAAGCGAACTGGAGCGGGCCTGCCAAAACAGACAGCGGATCGTGTCGATCGGATCGGGAAGGACCCTGGCCCCACCTTGTGGCACGACTCGGGCAGCCCCGGCGGCACAGGACCGCGAAAACCTTCACGGGCCTGCGGGCGAACTGGCCCTGATCCAGTGCCATGTGTCCTCCTCAGAGGCGCGCGTCCGAGCCGAACATCTCGCACAGCCATCGTTTGACGTGTCGCTTCCTGAGCGGCACGGCCCGAGAGCGTCAGCCACGGGGCAGATGTGCTGCAAGAGATTCCCTGGCGTGCGCGTCGCCCTTGCGGGACCGACGCACACTCGGTATCAGTACGATTGGGCGGTGCCGTCGTTGCCTTCGCACCCCCAGGCGAGTGGGTGGGGGGCCACATGCGAACCCTACCCCTACCCCCGACGAACCCTACCCCTACCCCCGACGACTTCTGCGGGGGAGGGTGCAGCTCCCGAGCGCAGTGAACCCCACCCTCCCCTCAGGAATCGTGGGGGGTTCGCATGTGGCCCCCTGGTGGGGGCGAGGAAGGCAGAGAGGTCGGCGGGCCTTCCCAAAAAGAAGGCTCGGAGGTTCCCCGCGCCTGCCGAGAGGTCGTGTGAGAAGGCGCGGGACACTGCTCGAAGACGCGAGGGCCTCTGAGAAGCTCCACCACCTGCTGAGAAGGCCGATTCCTCCTCCCCCTCCTCCTCCTCCTCATCCGCCTCCGCCTCCTCCTCCTGCTCTCTCCCCCCTCTCCTCCTCCTCTCCTCCGCCTCCTCCTCCTCTTCCTCCTCCTCCTCCTCCTCCGCCTCCTGCTCCTCCTCCTCCTCCTGCTCCTCCTCCTCCTCCTCCGCCTCCTACTCCTCCTCCTCCTCCTCCATTCCTTTCCCTTATAAATAACTTCTCCCTGTCGCACCCCGAGGCCAATTTTTAGTGCGGTCCGGGCGATTCGCCTGAGACTTCCTCACCATTTGCGACCATGAAGCTTCAAAATTGGCAACAGCTTCACAGACGGAGGGTGGGTGGTTTTCAAATATGGCTCTCGCCCTAGTGCCGCGCACATTCGTTTCAAACAATTGCAAGGGCTTCACGGATTGAGGGCGGGTGGTTTTCAATATGTGGCTCTCGCCCTAGCGCCGCGCACAGTCATTGTAAAAATTGCAATCTTCTGGCATGCTTCAGGGTCTTCAAACGGGTGTCTGCCAACGAGGCAATTCCATCAATGGAAATCAACCGTTGTAGTGGCCTGAGAGGAGGGAGCTTGGAGGGAGGGTTTACTCCAACATCGTTGACGACTCTTGGGTTTACCCTGGTCCTCCTCCTCCTCCTCCTCCTCCTCCTCCTCCTCCTCCTCCTCCTCTCCCTCCTCTCCTCTCCTCTCTCCTCCTCCTCCTCCTGCCTCGCCTCCTCATACTCATGGGGGAGCCGGGGAGGACCTCCAGGCCAACAGACCGACGGATGCTCTCTCGCCCCGGGAGCCGAGCTTTGGCCCCTGGTGCCGACTTCCGAATGGCCCATGGTGCCCTCCCCCGCCCCCTCCCGCGGGCCAAACCGCCCAGGCTGCCAAAACTCGGGTTTTATCTCTTTTGGATGGGCTTTTGTTGGGGCTCCGCCGGAGGCGTGGGAGGAGGAGGAGGAGGAGGAGGAGGAGGAGGAGGAGGAGGAGGAGTATCAGGAGGAGGAGGGGGAGGAGGAACAGGGAGGAGGAATAGGGAGGAGGAGGAGGAGGAGGAGAACGAGGAGGAGGAGGAGGAGGGGGGCCCTGGCAGCGCGCCGAGCCTGGCCAGGTCCAGCGCACCCTGCGGCGCCTCCCGCATCGCCGCGCCCCCGGCGCCCCGCACAGGGGAGTCGGGTCGGGCGAAAGGGGGGGATAGCAAAGGGGGGGTTGAGAATCAGCTCACGTAGCTGATTTTCCCGGCGCCTCCCGGCGCCGGAGGCGGCTATGCATCGAGGAATGGGCCCCTCGGTGAGGCCGAAATCAGCTGACATGCAGCAAATTTCGTAACCCCCCCTTTCCCAATCCCCCCCTTTCGTCCGGCCCGAGGGAGACCGTGCGGGGGGGGGGGCTGGCCTGCGGCCGACGCGGCTCCGGCCGGGAACGGGGCGGGGGAGGGCGCCAACGGCAGCGGCGGCGGCGGGGCAGAGCAGAGGCCCGGCCGAGCTCCGGCTGCAGGGCCAAAGAGGTGGGCAGACCGGGAGCGGCCGAGGAGATCGAGGGAAAGGGCTTCGGGGGGCGTCGGGGAGTTCTCAGGTGCATCTGGGCTCGGGTGCTGGGCGTTCGTCCCAGCCGGGGCTTCTGCCATCCCCGCGCTGCCGCCAGAAAGGGGAGATCCAGAAGCCCACAGGCACGCGCACCGACGGATCGACGCAACGGCGCAACAGCCAACCGAACCGAACCGAACCGACCGAAAGCAGCCGACTGTGACGCAGCTGACCGAACGGAGTCGCGGACACCCTGGGTTCCGAGCGGGAGGGAGGAAGAAGAGGAGCAACGAAGAGGCGAGGGGGGAGGATGGATCTGGGGCCCGGGGCTCAGCACTGAAGTTTTGCTCGCACAGCTCGGACTCAACCAAATTACCGTTGACACAATTTTCGAGAAGAGACGTGCTGCACTGAGGCTTCGTAGGTCTAAGGATCCTCCTCACAGCGACGAGCAAGTACTACTATGTGGTAGTAGAATTAGTGTTATCAAAATGAACAGTATTATGAATAGTACTATTTGTATTACTATTATTCGACTGCTTCTTTCTGCTACCAATGGGAAATCATACGATTGGTATAACTAAATTGTTCAAACGAGTAATGTATTAGTACTGCTACGACTGCTCTGATTAATGTGACCACTATACTACTGTTAAAGTTCGCACGGTTTTTTCTGATATGTGATATTTTATGCTTGCACTACGAGTAAGGATATATATACACACATAAATATATACACATATACTTATACATACATATACACGACTGCACGATTAGCAGTAGCACGATTATCAATAATAGTAGTAGCAGAACGAATATGATTGATAGTAGTGTTACTACTACTACTACTACTACTACTACTACTACTACTACTACTACTACTACTACTACTGCTGCTGCTGCTGCTGCTGCTGCTGCTGCTACTACGACTCCTACTACTACTACTACTACTACTACTACTACTACTACTACTTCTACTTCTACTTCTACGACAACAACAACTACTACTACTACTACTACTACTACGACGACTACTACTACGACTATTACTACTACTACTACTACTACTACTACTACTACTACTACTACTTAATCCTACGACTGAATACTACTACTATACTCAACTAATACTATACTACTACGTAACTACTATACCACTACTTTACTAATATTTGACTATGATTACTAGTACGTACTTACGCACTACTACTACTATACTACTTTACTACACTACTTACTACTGCTACTGCTACGCTACTGCTACGCTACTGCTACTGCTATACTAACTACTACTACTACTTACTACTAATACTTACATATACGTCCTACCACTACTATCCACACTACTACTATACTACTACACTACTACTCATAACTACTACTAGTGCTGCCTCGACTCCCTCTACAGGCTACTACTACTACTACTACTACTACTACTACTACTACTACTACTACTACCACTACACTACACTACTACTACTACTACTACTACTACTACTACTACTACTACTACTACTACTACTACTACTTCTACTACTACTACTACTACTACTACTCATACTACTACTACTACTACTACTACTACTACTACTACTACTACTACTACTACTACTACTACTACTACTACTACTACTACTACTACTACTACTACTACTACTACTACTACTACTACTACTACTACTACTACTACTACGAAGACTACTACTACTACTACTACTACTACTACTACTACTACTACTACTACGACTACTACTACGACTACTACTACTACTACTACTACTACTACTACTACTACTACTACTACACTACCACTACTACTACTACTACTACTACTACCACTACTACTACTACTACTACTACTACTACTCCTACTACTCCTACTACTACCACTACTGCTACTACTACTACTACTACTACTACTACTACTACTACTACGACTACTACTACTACTACTACTACTACTACTACTACTACTATAACTACTACTACTACGACTACTACTACTACTACTACGACTACTACTACTACTATAACTACTATTACTTACTTACTAATTTACTAACTTAACTACTACTACTATTACTCACACTCCTGCTCCTCCTCCTCCTCCTCCTCCTCCTCCTAACTCCCCCTCTCCTCCTTAGCTCCTCATCCTTATCGCCTTCTCTCCTCTCAAGTCCGTGCTCAATCCAGAGCTCCTAACGCTCCCCCACCCTCCTCCTCCTCCTCCTCCTCCTCCTCCTCCTCCTTCCTCCTCCTCTCTCCTCCTCTCCTCTCCCTCTGACTCCGAACTCCCCTCTCCTCCGCTGCATCCTTCGCCCTCCTCCTCCTCCTCCTCTCTCCTTCCTCCGCCCATCCTGCTACATTTTAA